TATCTTTCTTTCTTTCTTTCTTTCTGTCTGATTTCTCTATTTCTTTTTTTTTTTTATTTCCGTCTTTCTTCATTTTTATCTTTGTTTATTTTTGTCTTTCTTTATTTATTTCTATCTTTCTTTCTTTCTTTCTTTCTTTCTGTTTTCTTGCTTTTTATCAGTTTTCTTTTTTTCGTTATTTCTGTTTTTTTCCCTTTTTTCCTTATTCTGACTTTTTTTTTGTTTTTCATCATTTCATTTTTTTTCGTTCTCGTCCCTTTAATACTGCAATGTAGTTTATTCTGGACACAACAATTGCCTAAAAATTCTACATTCAGCAATTGTTCATTAAAATTTAAATCTTAAAAAAATATAAAACGGAAATGAAAAATGACCCTATAATAACATGACTTTATTTTTTTTGATTTTACGAAATTTTTTATTGCTGTATCTGTCCCAATCAAGGAAGCATTGTTTTCATTATAGATCCACTGCCTGTGCTATCAGGTTTTATTAAGCAAATGCATGTTTTTGTAATAAAATTAGTATTAAACATTAGCGTATACTTATATTTCTATGATAAATATACGATGTGAAGTTCAGTTTAACATATCCAATTTTATTAGAAATATTAATTATAACGTAGTATGAGATGTTATGAAATTTTATTATAGAATTCAGAAGAGAAACAAAACATTATAAAGTTATAAAATGATTAGAAGACAACGTTCGGAATTAGGAGATCAGAGGAAAGCGAAAATAGAATCTGAAAACTTAACTTTCGCAAGAAGAACAGCACCCCCCCCTCCACCATCAAAAAAAAGAAGAAAATGGTTTAAAGTATATCACACAAAAATATTCGAGAAAATTAGAAGCAAGGAAATGGGACAGACCAACTAGAAAATATTTCAAGAAGCAGATATTGCAACTGTAAATAGAGAGAAAAGATGCAAAACACACACACGCACATATATATGTACCTTTGAAAAAAAAACTTACAACCACGCTACCCGGGTTTCGATCGCTAGACCTCCTCAGGGAGGTTGAAAAAAAAAAACTTTTTCAACCAGCCTGGGGAGGTCTAGCGATCGAAACCTGGGTAGCGTGGTTGTGAGAGTTTTTTTTCCGAGTTGTATATATATATATATATATATATATACACACACCTCTGAAAAAGACCTCTCACAACCACGCTGGTTGTGAGAGGTTTTTTTCCAAGTTGTATATATATATACCTCTGAAAAAGACCTCTCACAACCACGCTAGATCTCCTCTGGCAGGTTGAAAAAGAAAAATAACTTTTTCAACCAGCCTGAGGAGATCTAGCGATCGAAAAACGGGTAGCGTGGTTATGAGAGTTTTTTTTCCAAGGCATCTCGCTCTGCATTTTATATATTATATTTTATTTTTTTATAGCTTGCATCGAGCACTTTTTTGGTGCTTACGCCTTTCTAGGCGCCCCCCCCTACTTTATTTATTTTTAGCCTCCTATTATAATATAATATTTTATATTTTAAATAATTATATATATATGTGTGTGTGTATGTATATCATTGGTTGAAGAGATGAAAGAAACTAAACATCCATTTTTAAATTAGCATAACAAGAGAAACGTGTAAATTGGGCGAAAAAGTAAATGCAAACTGATTCTTTCACACAATGATGAATACAGAGCTATATTGGATGGAACTTATAGTTGAACAGAAAATTAATGACCAGAACGTTTGCTTTTTTAGTCTTTTCACTCCAAGCAATAAAATAAAACCACTAAAACATATGGAGTTTCCTGGTGTTAAAGAATACGAGAGAGAAAAAAAGAAACACATTTAAGGAGTAAGAGCAATAAAAGAAAAGGAAGACAAAAGATAACGATTACCATTGCATTTAATTTTTTCCAGATTAAAGTTGACTGAAAAGCGTTCAAGAAAACTAACTCTTGTCCACGTTTCTAAAACGGGTCCCAAAGACAGCAAATTAATGGAATGTCTCCCAGACTCTCAAGATATTATTCCGGTTAAAAAACAAAAAAAAAAAAAAACAAAAAAAAACTCCTGGTTCATCATTGACAGAAACATATGTACGAATGGAAAAATATTCAAGCAAAGAAGGTCTCTGGCAAAAACACTTGAAAGCAATTTTAAAGTCGAAAACCTAACAAAATCAACGGTTAAAATACTAATAATAACTATAGTCTTTTAATCATTGTTAGCTTTGAGGTCGTTTTAGCTTGTAAAATAATGAAATAACTAAAAGTATCCGTGAAATGACTGAATAAGCTCCTTACGAATTCTAAAACTATAAATTACCCATTGAAATTCCCCAAGTATTTGAGCTTAATACACAAAACATTGCAATAACAATCATAAATATGAATGCATGTTATTATTTAAAGAAGTAAGGCGGCACAAATTAAAATACTTGAGATTGACAAGTTTTCGGATTTCACTGATGCAGACGTTAAACCCATGTGAGCACCATCACTTCTTTCTTTCTTTCTTTGAAAAGAAACAGTGTCTCTGATATGTTTTTTCTCACGATAGAAACGGAATAGTCCATTATTTTTGTTTTTAATTCATCTACGTAATGAAACCAGACAAACAGCAAAACAATTCTTAATAAGTTTATTAAGGAGAGGAACAGGAAAAATTCATTAGAAACAAGAAAAAGAGTTTTATAGTTGCGGCGTAATATCAATCATCCTATATGTTAGAGAATGTTTCAAATTTTCCTCACGGCTGAAGAGAAGACTTGAAACAGCATAAAAAAGGTTCTACAGAAGGATGGTGAGAATACTATTGTCACAGCATGCGAGCAACGAGGAAGTTTTAAGGAAAATGGCAACAAAAAGGGCAATTATATTATACATAAAAGCGTAAGAGACAGTTGAAATCTCTGGGACACATAACGAGAAAAGAAGACCTGAAAAAAATTGTTACTCATAGGATATAGTGAAAGCAAGGACAGGTGATAGCAGCGAGTAACCTACATTAAGAAGTACTATAAACAAATGATCGCCCACGTCCTGAAGTAACATGGCGCTTCGAAGAAAACTATCGTATATTGAAAATAACTTCATGTATTGCTCATATAAATATAGCCTAAAAGTTTTACTAATATCGGTTGGTTCATATCACTTTTACTGTAAAAATGATGAAATTATTTTTTGTTCACACGTTCTTGATTTTTTTCAGGCGAAAACATGGCAGTCTCTCGTCATAAGTGCGTGTATCACTATTGTTCATTGAATGCTTTCTGTTGTGATTACTTTTATATTGTGATATACACCAGAAAGTGAATGCTAATCCCATCTCTATAAACACAGGTGTGTGAGTATTCAATCTATGTATATTGTACATTAGTTTATCCCGGATGTATATCAACAATACGAAAGCTCAAGCCAGAAACAGCTGTTTAAAGTGCAAACGTTTTTACTATCTGAGCCGCTACAGATATTTCCAATAGGAGTTTGTTAGTTTTAGCGTTAGCATTGCTTGATTGAAACGAAGTGTAATAAATTCTAAAAAGGATTTTGTCCCAGGTGTCGATTATTATTATTAGTTGTAGTGAATTTAATAAACTTAATATAGTTGCCCACCAATGAATCTGTAAGTTAAATATATAAGATTCGTGAAATTTTGATATCAAAACAAAGTCTAAAGCAGTACATCCCTCTATAAAACAAAAATCTGCTTGTGGATTCGCGTGGTTTAAGCTGATATCCTGAAGGAACATTTTCTTTTTATTTTAGTCTGGCATATCAGTCTGGCATATTTTCTTTCTTTCTTTCTTTCGTTATTTACTTCTTTCCTTTCTTTCTTACACAATTCTTTTGATTGATTGATTTTTTTTTTTACGGCTTATCACAATTTTTCAGGCTGTTTAGAGATAGAAAACATTTTTAGATTGTAAGATTTTTTTAAGATAATGATTTACTGATACAAGTCCTACTAATTAACCTATAGCTGGTGGGAGAAGAGGTGGATTCATACCTTTCTCGTGGGTATTTGTACGTAAGTGAATATAACCCGAATGGAATTCGAACTCGGCTCTCCGATTTCCAATTCCGCGCTATCCATTACACCACCAGCACTTATAGCATCCGGTATTTCCAAACAGTCACCCATTTAGCTACTGACCAGGCTCGACCTGGCTTAACAACGGCGATCATACCAGAACCGGTGTTTCAACGTGATATGGTCGTAAGTTTCCTCAGTGTTTTTCTTTCTTTCTTTCTTTCTTTCTTTCTTTCTTTCTTTCTTTCTTTCTTTCTTTCTTTCTTTCTTTCTAAATCAATTCTCTACTTTCTTTCTTTTTGACTTTTTTCTGTTTCTTTTTCATGTTTTTAACTTTCTTGTTTTTTTTTTTTTACTTTCTCTCTTCTTTTCTTACTCACTTTTTTTTTTTTTTTTGCTACTTTTTCTGTGTCAGTGTCTCTCGGTTACTTTCTCCCATTTTAAGGAAAAGAAACGCTAAATCAAAGGCACTAATCTGTTTATCTACCGTGAGAAAATGCGACATAAACCAAAATTATTTTATATACAAACATCTTTCACTCAAGTTTTTCCCTTTTTCACATACCAAAAATACAGCAAGTGTATTTTCATCATTATAACTACAAACATTTTCACATTATGAAAATTGAATTTAAATAAAACTACAAAAGAAAAGACCACGGGAGAATCAAAGAAATAATTTGTCCGAACGTATCTTTCGACATAAGTGCATTAATAAGACTAATGATAAAATATATATATTTTATACAAAAAATATTTTCATTTTTACAATTCATTTAGACCAAGTGTTCTCTATGTACTAAGGAATTTTTGTTAAGCAAGTAGTCAATGCGGCTGGTTAATATTTATAGTGAGAAGTAGTTTTAATCAGTTTTGATATGACGTGTAAAGTTACCTCGGGATTTTGTAAGTTTTTATGTGACCAGAAGCTGTAAAATAGTTGCTCAAGAAAAATTACTGCGATAGACTTTAACCAGTTATGTGTATGAACAAAGAGATTCACTTAAAGAGATGGTCGTACGATCTTCAAATATCGGTTCTCTATAAATGAATCTGAAAAAGAAAGAAGGAAAGGAAGGAGAGAAAGAGACAGAGAGAGAGAGAAAGAATGGAAGAAAGAAAGATATATAAAGAAAAGTGACAATTAAAGTTATATATATATATATATATATATATATATATATATGTGTGTGTGTGTGTGTGTGTGTGTGTGTGTGAGACTGAAATAGAGAATGAAAGCGAGAAAGAAAGGTGAGAACGAAAGAAAGAGAGAATGAGATGAAAGAGCAACAAAAAGAAAGTATTTATTCACTTAAATGACAAGGTAAATATAGTTTTTTGCTTTGACTTAATGTTCGAGAGTGTACTTATATTCTCGAACCAAAATGAGTATTTTTACAATGTCATCTTTGTGAGGGCTACTGTTGTTAATCTATTCGCTTGTCTATCTCAATGATACTCTCCACGTAAATACAGACTTTATGTATTGGTTAAAGAGCTCATATTAAGTAAGACATTAGCTCCTTAATCATTAAAGACACAACTACTTTTCAAAATTAGTATCAACAAAATCATTTATAAGTTAAATCAGGAGAATCTATTGAAAACACATAAGAATAAAATTTAATTAAATGGAACAAAAAATTAAGGAACTATACAAATTTCAAATCAATGTGGAAAAGACGACATTATTTTCTTATAAATCAAAGTGGCTTACCCATTGAAATTTACCTATATAGTAATAATAATAATAATAATAATAATAATAATAATAATAAGAAGAAGAAGAAGAAGTTGAAAAGTTTGATAACATGGAAAAGAATGTTGAAGTATTTACATTTGTTGCGGTGTAGACTACAAATAAGTGCTGATGTGAAAACTCACTGAGTGAAATGTAATATTAAGAAGGGTGCTGGAAAATTCTCGTCCAGAACAAAATATCTGATTTTTTTCAGATTTTAGGAAGAGGATCTGGCCTAGAACTTACCATCTCCCGCCCGTAACATATACACATATCTATCTATCTATCTATCTATCTATCTATCTATCTATCTATCTATCTATCTATCTATCTATCCATGTTAATATCTATGTTAATATCTATCGATCCATATTAATATCTATCTATCTTAATATCTGTATATTCATGTTAATATCTATGGATCCATATTAATATCTATCTATCTGTGTTAGTATCTATCTCTTTATGTATGTTAATATCTATCTTAATACATACATACATATATATATATATATATGTGTGTGTGTGTGTGTGTGAAAAAACGACGTATAATTAAGGAGTGGAGTCATTCGATCAATTTTTAGTAACTAATTTACTATTTTTTTTATTACTGCGTATTTTTGTAACTCGCAATTTTTTTTACGATTTTGTAAAAACATTTTGCGAGAAATTATAAATCTTTACTATAATTATCGTTGATTAAAACTAGAACGAAATAGCGGTCAGCGGACAAGGATTGAACTCACTATGACATGTGTAGTCGAGACTACACCTAATCAGCATCACTCTACATCTGGTGTTCTTCGATCGAAGACATTGCGTTTCAAACACTTGTCTCCTAAAAAGAAGCCCCCCTCCTCACAAAAAAAAAAGAAGAATTTAAGATTTTAAATGTCCACGAAATAGGACTAGAGAAAATAAGGAGAATAGTCTAAGATATGCGTTAAAAACATTACCCAACCAGACCGAATCGTAGTTTTTAACAACACCTATTGTTTACAGAGAAAAGTTAATCTGATAAAAAGTCTTTGTCAGTGTTTCTCAACCGCTTTTTTGCTGTTTTTTTTTTTTTACTTCACCTGTAGAATGATTAAAACGCAGGTGTGCACTTTAAATTTTGTCAAGGAAAAATTAATCATGAAATTTAAAAATAGGAAAATAATCCACTATTTACATTATTCAGACTATTGCCTTCATCTTTGTCGCCATATTTATTACAACGTTTCGGCCGTTGTACGCTCCGGCCTTCTTCAAGTGAAACTAGAACAGTTTACCCCAGTGAGCGAAATAAAGGGTTCAGTCCGACATTCCAACCACCTGATGAAGGCCGGAGCGTACAACGGCCGAAACGTTGTAATAAATATGGTGACAAAGATGAGAACAATAGTCAGAATAATGTAAATAGTGTACATAATACCTCATCTCAGAAATATAGACAGGAAAATAATAAATAAGACTCCAGAAATAAACATTTATTTTTAAGACATTACACTGTAAATTTAAGCTGTACAGTTTTTATTTAAAGGGATTTATGAAGAGTCTGTTTACTACGTTTTAGAGAGGCTGATAATGACTAATTTAAATCCCTTGAGGAAGTCAAAAAGGAAAGGATTATCCACTCCTTCTTAAAGATTAGGGAATTTAACATCCAGTTTTAAATATCAACTAACAAAGACTTCAGTTAGGCATAGAAGCCATATACTGGGTTTTCTAGCTTTTTAATGAGAAAGATTTTTTTTAAATATAAAAAGTAATTCATAAATTACTCTTCCGTTAACTTGAGGCGCACCTGGCTACTTTTCAGAGCGTATTAGTGCGCCCGTGCGTACCGGTTGAGAAACGCTGATCGAAGTAATCGAAATGTATAACTGACCGATCTGTTTGGTTAGATCGTTACATATTTCCCGCCGGTACCACTGGACATTTTGTTCTCTATTAAAAGAATTCCTAGTAATTGGAATGTTGATTTTTAAAGCAAGGCGATCAGTTCAAATTTGAAGGTTGACACAACACAATCTGTTTAACTCTTTTTCTCCATCTGCCTTGTGTCATACTACACACTAAATTTACACAATATTAAAACGCATGACTGAATATCTGTCTATATTTCAGAGATGAGGTATTGTAAATACACTATTTACATCGTCCGGACTGTTGTCCTCATCTTTCTGGTCATATTCACGGCGTTTCGGCCGTTGTACACTCCGGCATTCTTCAGGATCTATCTATATTTTTGAGATGAAGTATTTTAACTATTTGCACTATTTACATAGTCCGAACTGTTGTCCTCATATTTATTTTCATACTCACGACTTTTCGGTCGTTGTATGCTCCGGTCCTCTTCCGGTGATTGGAAGAAGGCCGGATCCTACAACGGCCAAAACGTCGTGAATATGACAACAAAGATGAAGACAACCGTCCGAACAATGTAAATAGTGTAAAATCCTTCTTTTTTTTATTTAAAAATAATTATTTGTTATAGTCCCGAAATAGCTAACCAACATTCTCTTTCAGCTAAAGTCGCGACATTACTATCTATCGAACTGACACACCTTTTAGCGCGGTCACACAGATTGGGTGAGATCTTTGAATTTGAGGAGGAGGAGGAGAAGAAAGATGAATTTTTTTTTTTTTTTACTAAGACCTGAGTTATTTGAGAAGAGGAAGCAAAAAAAAAAAATTCAATGAAGTTTAATCGGTTAGGTTTTTCTTTTTCTTTTTTGTATTTGTGATAAAATTTCAATCCTTATACGTATTATTTTTAAACGGCGAAAACACACCCAACTCCTCTGTCCCAGATCTATTTCGACATCCACACGCTGCTACGCATAAAGAAACACAGACATGTAGCTATTTACTAAAACTGAACTAAGCCTGGTATGATTTTGCTACCAAACGGGCCCAACGTTTCTGGGGTCAATAGTTCGTATCCCCACCTAATACAAAATGGAAAAGAAGGACTTTTTTTTACGATAGGCATTTAAAAAATAAAGGCTACGATAAGTAAATTGTCGCCATACTAGATTTTTAATTTTGCGCATGCATATTACTTGTCTTTAATTTTGTCGACTGCACAGTATAATAGGGTCAGTTGGGCACCGTCTGTGAGAAAAAGAGCACCATGACGCAATACATTCCGCCAGAAAATTGGAAACGGCATACTGTACTGCTTGACATTCGCTCCGGAATCTCCATTACGAATTTTTCAGAGTGTTTGGAGATCAGTCTGAGTGCAAAGGATTCAGAAAGAGTTGAATGAATCTAATGGTGATTACGAATGTATTTGGAGTGATCACTAGTGATGGCGTCGTTATGCTTCTGCTCATCTTCCTACAGGACCTAGGACTCAATACGGAGGCCTACACCAAGTACCTTGTGAAGGTAGTGCTGCCCTGAGTCAAGAGGATGGCTGCTGGAAGACCTTATATCTGGCAACAGGACTCTGCACCATGCCACACAAGCAGTAGAACCCAGTCATTGCTATCAGACAATTTCTGCAACTACATCACACCTTACATCTGGTCACTTAACTTCCCAGACTGAAACCCTTTTGTTTATTATGTGTGGGTTGCAGTTGAATGAGAGACCAACAACACTCTTTGTAACACCAAAGATGAACTAAAGGAAAGAATTATGGCAGCATTCACCAACTTAAACAAGGAAACCGTCCAGAAGATTTGCAGGAGATTCCGAAGTTGTCTGGAGGCCGCAGTTGAAGTCAATAGCGATTTTATTGAATAAATTTACTCTTTCCTATTTCAAGATATTTTTGCGTGATTTTGGTAAATATATCTGTTGAAATGAGATGCCAGTGTTATGTTCGTTTTAGCGTAATTTAGACGACAATTTATCCATCGCATTTTGTATATCTAACAAAATCGGACAAACCGCAATCATTTTTTGTTTTTAATGGGTTTCTTCCAGAATCTCCTTGTGTCTCACAGAATTCTATCGTAGATAACCGAGCATATCCTAAGTCTAGACTGCCTCTTAGAGCAATGGGGGTATGCTGTCTAGGATATAAATCTCCAGGTTACAATAGACAGGGATCAACGTCTACGATGTATACTTAACATGACACCATACGCACACGACGCACAAAGGCCCATGCAAAGATCCACTCATCCAGATAGATACATATGTAAACAAGACTATCTATCTATCTATCTCATTCAAGTCAGAACGTAGTAGCTTCATAACTGCTTTTGATTTCTTAACACATACGCGTTTATCTATCTATCTATCTCAGTCTGTTCATATCTATCTATCTATCTATCTATCAATCAAATTAATTGGTAATATATATTTGATTAACAGGTAAGGAACTTTAGTTGCATTTACTAATTCACCATTACAAGCCTCAAGAGCCTCTCAAGGTCGATGATTACTGAATAGTGTAGTGATTGAAAAGCATCCTCTCGGGAGTCGGTTCCGCAAAGTATCAGTTATTAGTTATCCGAACTGAACCCCGCTTCTTTCTAATGGAATACGAAGGTTATATTTTCCGTATAATAAAATCCATATGATCCATATTTCATTTGATAAAACACTCGTGGAACTACTTTCTTCTGACAACATACTTTCCAGCGAACTTTGATCTTCAAAAATTTAAATACAATGTCAATCGTTATCTACTGTCTTCTTAATTACTCTTCTTCTATACTATTTACATTATTCGGACTACTGTCCTTAGCTTTGTTGCCATATTTATCACAACGTTTCGGCCGTTGTACGCTCCGGCCTTCATCAGGTGGTTGGAATGTCGAAATGAACCCTTTAATTCGCTCGCTGGAGTAGACTGTTCTAGTTCCACGTGCCATGTTTAATGGATGTCAGTTATCAGTTATCACCTGTTAATTCTCCTCTCCAAGTTCTCCACTGCCTTAACCAGATATTGAACTCACATTCTTTGGGTCTTGTCCTTGAGGGCACATGGCACAGTGGATAAAGGCGTTAATTAGATCCAGTGACAGGACACAACGAGTTCAATACCTGATTAAGGCGCTGGAGAACTTGGAGAGGGGAATTAACAGGAGATAACTGATAACTGACATCAATTAGACATGGCACGTGGAACTAGAACGGTCTAACCCAGCGAGCGAAATAAAGGGTTCAGCTCGACATTCCAACCACCTGAAGAAGGCCGGAGCGTACAACGGCCGAAACGTTGTAATAAATATGGCAACAAAGATGAGGACAATAGTCCGAATAATGTAAATAGTGTACATAATACCTCATCTCAGAAATATAGACAGATACTCTTCTTTTATTGTTACTTAATAATGTTTCTCCTTTTTTCTAATTCTTTCACACTCAGTAACATCTTTTGTGTCTTATCGTCTTTATTGCCTTATTTTGGGTGAAATGATTTTAAAAAAGTAGTTAAAGCCTTTGCACTAATGTCGACAAGTGACAGTTTTTTTTTGTTATGGCAATAGTGAACAGTTCCAAGATATTTATAAACTCGTTAAGTAAAAATATCGATTCCGTGAAAGTTAATGACATGAGAATAATATATTTAAAGACTCATGTGTAAAGACCTAATAACAGTGAGTACACAACAAAATATACCCGTCCTGGGTAAGACGATAAACTACATCCGCGTCCTGGGTAAGACGATAAACTACATCCGACAGAAAGGCCTCTGCTCGGGAGGTTTTGAAGTGCGTGGAACCGCCTCTAAATTGCTATTGTTCCCAGGTACATCCTAGTAGAACCCGTTAGAGCCCCAATTATGGTAAAATAGTTGACTTCCAAACTGGGGTCAAAGCACTTTGAAAGTGTAAAAATAGGTTTTAATATGGGCAATGATTTTTTTGAGGAAAAATATTACCAGCAATTCATTTTGGAAGGAAAAACATATTACCAAAAATGCATTTTTGAACGAAAAATTATTTACACTATTTACATTATTCGGACTATTGTCTTCATCTTTGTCGCCATATTTATTACAACTTTTCAGCCGTTGTACGCTCCGGCCTTCTTCAGGTGGCTGGAATGTCGAACTGGACCCTTTATTTCATTCACTGGTGTAGACTATTCTAGTTCCACGTGCTATGTTTAATGGATGTCACTTATCAGTTAAACATGCCACTGAACTAGAACAGTCTAACGAGTGAGCGAAATAAAGGGTTCAGTTCGACATTCCAACCACCTGAAGAAGGCCGGAGCGTACAACTGCTGAAACGTTGCAATAAATATGGCGTCAAAGATGAGGACAATAGTCTGAATAATGTAAATAGTGTACATAATACCTCATCTCAGAAATATAGACAGGAAAATAATAAATAAGACTCCAGAGGACAATAGTCTGAATAATGTAAATTGTGTACATAATACTTCATCTTAGAAATATAGACAGACACCGAAAAATTATTACCAGCAATACAGTTTTGGAAAAAATATTACCAACAATAAAAATCTTGTCGGCATTAAATAACCAATTGAGGTTGATATGCCGTAAACCAAACCAAACAAAATAAACTTTAATTTTTGAGAATACGTGTGAACTAATATACTGATAAAGCTAACATAGCTTTGCAGCTTTTAGATTTTGTTATCTTTTATAGATTCGGGTATGGCTAGATTTTGTTTCTGTGTCCCCATATTACATCAGTAGAACAAAATAGCTCGTATTGTTAGCGCACAGCAATATTTGTGCGTAATAACAAAAGAAAAATATGTTGAATGCGTCTAAAAGTGGGGATAGGGAACGCTGGTCATCATCTGTCTTATCTTAAAGTTAGCTAGCCACAATCACTGACCCAAACAAACTATATAATATTCCTTGCACCAAAATACCACATTCTTACTTACCCTTCTTGGTACAGCCACCATAATACCTCTGATTCTCTATGATGTCCTAATTAGTCCCATATATAGAATATGTCTGTGGGGGATATGGAATAAAACAACAACTTTTAAAAGTGAAAACCCCAATGAATATTTACAATATGAATAATACTATATATACAAGAAACTAAACAAAATGGTGTTAATAATACCCCCCACCCCAACAGCCATAATTGTGGCAGAAATAGCTGGACGAAATTAATACGGGACTTAGAAAAATTGAAACCAATTATTCGACCAATCACACACATAATTACACATTCAGACACAACACATACGAAAAACACTCGAAAAACGTAAGTTGTCCCGCATACACCCGAGAACTGACATTTCTGGTCACCTAATCGAGTTGGGTAGGGGGAATTAAACAAAAGAACGTGGGGACATTGTTAACACATAATCAATGCTTACAAGCCTTTTTATATATGACTAATAAATGGCGCTAACAACGTTAGCGGTAATATTAAATTTGCATAACAATTTTGAAAAGTATACTTTAATGAATATTACATATGTTTATTATTTTTAATTCAATTTTTTTAAAAATTGACACGTATAAGTAATGTTTCTATTGATAGCTTTACTCTTAAATTCGTGTTTGCATATAGAATGAAGTTATATATGCCCAAGAAAACCATTAGAAAATTGGGATAATAATCCAACTCGATTTTTATTATTTCCAAAATGGATGAAAAGACGAGAAAAAAAGACTGATATCCCTGATATTCAACATACATTATTAAAAGATATTCCGGGAAACGTGTTCCAAGAACATTTCCAGTCATGGCACACCCGTCTCCCAATTTTAAATTCAAGTTGTAATAATTATCATATATAAACAATGCTTCTGTTTTTTTTTTTAAAAATGCTTTATTTTTAAATTCATCGGTTTTTTATAGAAATAATTTATACCTGCCTTGTTAAAATTCAGTCATAACCTACAGCGTTCATAATAAGCATTGCTGTCGTCTGCTATAACACATTATTACAAACTAGTTGAATGGAACCGTAAATTATAGAAGTATCCAAATAAGACAAAATAATCTGCTTAATTTAGATTTTCTTAAAACTGTACCGAATTATTTAAACGATTATTTAAATAAAAAAAACATCAGAGTAAGTTTCCGTAATTAAATTTATTATTATTAATTTATTATTAATTCATTATTATTAATAATTTATTGTTAGTAGTATAAATATTAGAAAGTTATTTAAAAGTTTCTCTCATAAGTCAGCTCTGTGTTCAGAGTATGAAATACAAGTGAACTTAGCGTAATGAAAAAAAAAACTTTAGAAAATAGATGTCTTGATAGAAATAGTTTTATACTGAATTTTTAGAGAACTAAGAGAATTTCAATATTTTTCACCTCTACGTAGGACGGGGTTTTGGCTAGTATTTGAAATTCTAATCGAGCTTCATCATTTTCTTTCACGTAACTGTCCTAGAGAAAAAGGCATGAATCCATTTCTTCTCGCTGACTTAGCTATGGGTTGAATAATAGAGCATAGTGGGCTCTTCAAGATTGCTTTGCAACTAGCTTAGAAGTACAACTGTGAACTTAAGAGTGTATGTAGTCCTAGCGAAGGACATAATATGCAGCGAACGAAAGGATCGTGATACTCAGAATAATTATTTTACCGACTCTGAGGTCATTTAGCACATTGGATACCAAACCTCATTTCCCTTGTTGTCCCAGTACTATAACTTATTTAATTTTCGTATAAGCGACTTTAAGTTTTAACATTGTTTCATATATGAGGTAAGGATATCATAGGTAATATTTATGATTATTTATTTGTTTCATATATGAGGTAAGGATATCATAGGTAATATTTATGATTATTTATTTGTTTCTATAGGAGGTAAGGGTATCATAGGTAATATTTATTACCCACGACCCACTGGTGTGTCGTTCAGTACCTGAGTCCATTTTTACAAACCAGAGTCCCACACGATCCAACCCTGGGTCGTTGGAAAATTCCTAATATACAAGTATTACATTAACACGAACTCTCATTTTCTATATTCAAATTATTTTTTGCGGGAGGGGGGGTCTGGTTTACCATGATCTCATAAGCAATCAATCATAGCAACCTCCACCCAATAATCCTCATATAAAAGAAATTAGAAAACGACCCACCGGAGGGTCCTGTGGGCCTTGCAAACATACCACCACGACCCTTCGGTGTGTCGTGTGGGAGGCAACGTGTTAATCAATCGTCAATAAGTTTTGATGTACATTTACCTGTTATACTAAAAGTTGTTAGGAGTTGATTTCTTCTTTTGTACACCGGTAAGAAAGACTATCAACAAAACAACTTTTACACATGTGTGAAAGATCTTTGGCCCAAAATACTGGTTTTCAACAAGCCAAGTGAATTTCTACTAATCAATGGTCCTGTAGGTGGCAGGCAAGTTTTTCATTAAAATTTGAATGTTTTTGTTTTTTTTTTAAATATTTATTCACTTGCAATGCAAATTCTCACTGAGTACAAAGACGTGCAATGCTAATAAATAAATAAAAAGAATTACTTAACGAAAGCTAGTGACTGACTATGTGACTTTGTGGGTCTTTACTAATCATAGTGTAGTTTTAACACAAAGCCAAAACTATGGGGAACTCAGCGAGGATCGAACTCGCAACTAATGGTTTACTTGCTGACGATTAATCTTTGACGAATTTGCTATGCTTTTTTGTATCTACGATGGCCAATTCAAGTAATTGTCAATATATGATATTCAATGTGTAAGATTAGGACTGGCTTCAAACAACTTTCTATACGTCCTCAAGGGCACATGGCACGGTGGATAAAGGCGTTGGTTAGATCCAGTGACAGGACCCAAAGAGTGTGAGTTCAATACCCGGTAAATGCGGTGGAAAACTTGCAGAGAGGAATGAACTGGAGATAACTGATAACTGGCATCCATTAAACGTGGAACTAGAACAGTCTACCCCCAGTGAGCGAAATAAAGGGTTCAGTTCGACATTCCAACCACCTGAAGAAGGCCGGAGCGCACAACGGCCGAAACGTTGTAATAAATATGGCGGCAAAGATGAGGACAATAGTCCGAATAAGGTAAATTCGGAACTTTCTATATTTTAAGTATCATGGAAAATCAAAACAATAGGAAGAATTATTTTGCACTGATATTTTCAGTCGAATCTCTTCATTTTCACTGGGATTATAAAATAATTTTGAGAGTTCTACTCTCCGGTTTTCTTCTGGCTTTTCTCATACTTGGTAGGCTTACCGCCATATCACGTTGGAACACCGATCACCCAAGTTAAGCAACGTCGTTTCTGGTCAGTACCAAGATGGGTGACCGCCTGGGAATATCAGGTGTCGTAAGCTTGGATGTTCGAGTGGTGTCATGGATAATGGCTCGCAATTGTTAATCGTAAAGCTGAATTCCAATTCCAGTTGGATTCATTATATTTTCAGGCGAAAATGCCCTTGGGAAAAGTATGAATCTATCTCTTCTCCCCACCCCGCCAACAGTTATGGTTTAATTAGTAAGATTTAGTATCCCTAAATCATTATTATTCCCCTTCTCAATTTCGTATAATCTCAAAAAAAAAAAAAAAAAAAAATTCTGGCTTTAAATAACCTGCAAATGGTTGTTACTCCGTAAAAAACGAATCAATCAAATCGTAGTTGGTAATCTTCCTAGAATTTTGAATCGAAAATAAGAACAGAAAAGAAACTTCGTGCTTCAAAGAATTATATAAATATTAAATTTCTAGGCATTTATTATCTTCCAGCTAAGGTTTAAATAGCAGAGTAGACTCGATCTTCTAGCTTTGGAAGGTAATCAGACTATAAGAAGAACATCTTAAAATTTAAAACTATCGAGAATACAACGAGGGACTAATTAGTTATCTTTGCTAAAATCTCTTGGCAATTCATTTGTAATATTAATAAAAAAATATGTGGCAAACTATGATCGCCTAAGGCCTGAATGGATATGGCATTAAAGAAAATGATTCTACCTTGCGGCATGAATGCACTTTTTTTATAGCCATTTTCTAAAATTCCCACTTTATATGTACAAAACCTAGGATATCAAGACATAAACATTTGTAAAATTACATAGAGACATAGAGGTAAACGCAAAGTTGCATATAAATTTATTGATGATATGCAATTAAAAAGCTAAAGCTATTGCCCTTTGTGAACTTTTTTAATTGTCACATTATATTTATATCCATTTGCTCATTATTAAACATTAATCACTCTGTCTAGTCACTTGTCTGCAAACAATCGTTAATATTTATTTGCCTTAACTATTAAAGACATTTTACGTCTCTTTGCTGTGATAGCTTTTCGTGGCTCGATAGTAAAGCACGCTTGACTTGTAATTAGTTTTCTATATAGAAAAGTGAATACAGATTCGATTTTTTTTTAAAATAAGACATTCTGAAGAGAGGAATGGTTATATAAAGTTGACTATTGTAACTGTAACACTACAAATGGTTACAAAGATCCAGCGACACGACGGATACAGAATCGAGTAGAAGTTGGTCGCGCACTGTTGACTATTGGAAATCATACAATTCATTTGTGGAAACTTACTGCCAGTAACTATCAGCGGGTCAACAAATCTAAAAAATAAGACACACACACACACACACACACACACACACACACACACTGATCATATAAAATTAACCGAGAGCCACAAGAGTAGAGATTTAGAGTAAATTACTGAATACGAATGAGATAGAAACAAATTTATTGAGAGGGATGACAAGCAAGTCATTTCATTTACCTTTTTTTCTACGGAGAGTTAAAAGAAATAATTAGATCTAAAGACTGAAATAATGGTTGAATAAAGTCATCTTCTCACAAAATCGAATCTTTTTTATACGTTATCAGTCACCGAATTTATCCTGATGGACAAAAAAAAAAAAATTACTATTTATTCAATCTCTTGCGGGTCACATTGGATTGTGTCGCGGACCTCATGAGGCCCGAATTTTGTGCAGGCCTGTTCTACAGAGGTCGCTATCTGAAACATTTTGTGATAATAATTCAGATAGTAGAGGGACTAAGAAACAAAGAATACTTCTTAAATATTAATGGATTCTTTTTCAACCCAACCCATTTATTACTTTAACTCAGTCATGGGTAAACTGCGGCCCGTAGGCCACATGCAGATCGTCTGGTCTTTCTGAATGGCATGATTGATTTCACAAGAAAAATAACGTTTCTTAAAATGTTATTGTGTTTCGTTCTCACTTGTTCACTCACACACTCTCTCATACATAACCACATAAATCAACAATTATTAAGTATAATGTTTCTTGAAGTAACATTATCAGCATTTTAAATCATCGGCAATTTTCACTAAGGAAGATCATACGTGCAAACATCTTTTGCTTTTGAAACAAGAAACATTCATAATAATTTTTTCTCTGAAGAAGAAATGTTTACATTTTCAAATCAATGAATTAGAAATAAATTCCACGCAGTGACATGTTTTAATCACATTGTCATTAGAGATATTATTATACCAAGATTTTTTTTTTTAATTATAAAAATATTTTCTGAAAAATAAAACTTTCCTACCATTTCTTACGCATATGGTCTTCTGTAGTGAAAGAAGCTAAGTTACCGACTAGGAAAATGATCTTGAATCTTTTTTTTAGTAGTGTGGCCCGCCTTGTGATGAGCCATACAACATGTGGTCCATTGCTCGAAAAGAGCTGCCCATGCCTGCTATAAACGCTATAGTTGGAGGGTATACGTGTTTTTTTTGTAGAAAACTGTTTATTTTTTTTAAACAGTGAAATTAATACCGACCGAAAGATTTATTAAAGAAAAACATGGCTTCCAACAGGAACATAAATAGAAGAACATCATATATTTAGGTTCTGATTACGGCTTTTTTGGTTAAATTTCTCTCGACACCCCTTAGGAAAAACATGAACATTCTCTTGATAAATTCCTTTCAGATTTCAAAAGATGTGTACACAGAAGACCATACAAGAATGTGCAGGAATATTTTACACCGCCCTTATTCGAATTATTCACTTAGATGTAGACAGTTATCGAGTCAACTACGCATTTACACTAAGACTGAATGAAAATAGGAGACTTAATAATGCACATGATCGTTTTGAATAAAAGTGTTCACACATGTAAGCAATTATATTCTTAGGATTCCAAAATAAACATAATTTTAATGTATTTTAATCTTTATTGCAGTTATCTAAAGTGTGTTTCTTATTTCAAAGAGAGCGATAATATTTCTAGCTATCTATGAGGCGCATGAAAATGTGAATATGAAATAAGTCGCTAGCGAAGACAAAACTCAGGTCAGTGAGTCTTTCCTTCCAAATGAAGGTTCAATATCAATTAACAATAGCCTTCTTGACGGATAATTTGTTTCCAGCCAGAACTTCATTGCGCACAGAACTGCACGCGTTCAGATTTGTGGTTAGCATCGATACATTACTTAGATACACATAAATAATGTATATATTCCTAAACGCCATTATCAAAGAGTTGTTAGTTTTATGCTATGTCATCGATTTTCTTAATTTTCAAAAGTTTTTGATAATGGCTAATGATAGCCGTAAGTACTCAGATGTTGAACAATTTATATTTAAATAGGTACCTGAACCCAAAAACTCATCCGAAACATAGAAAACAAGTTTAAAAAAATCCTCGACAAAGAAAATTCCTTGTTATTTAACCAAACTTGTATATTCGAATTAATCGAAAGATTGCTGCCTAAATACACCCAGTATATATATAACATACCTATATTAGACACACTAACACCTCCTTGAGTATACGCATTCCGTGTCACTTATCTGACCATAGTGCCATAAAAAAAATTATTAATCCATAATCTACAAGAACCCTTAAGAAAAATTCTGGTAAAAAAATACAAGAATTCTATATAAATCACATCATCAGAATCATTAATATATATATATATATATATATATATATATATATATATATATATATATATATATATATATATATATATATATATATATATATATATATATATATATATATATATATATATATATATATATATATATATATATATATGTGTGTGTGTGTGTGTTTGTGTGTGTAAATATATATATTTAGTGTTTATATACAGTATACATTTGCATACATGCAACACGTACATATAACTACATGCCCCAACTGTTTTCAGGAATAAAGTATGATTTAAACAGTCCCAGTGAGCTTGTTTCTTATTTCGTCATAAATAATTCATAAAAAAATTATTTCAATATTTTAAGTAGACAGACACAACCACGAACACTAACGGTATTTATTATGATTAATTCCGTTTAGTCTGGCACAAGATCACGACTGTTGGGCACCGACTGATGATTGAATTCCATACGCAGTCGTAATCATCTACTCGAACTACGGGTACTAAA